CTTATCATTTGTCCTAAGCTCTCATTTCTATTTCACAAGTTCATAATAGAAGACCTCATGTTTCTTCTCTTGGACTCTCTCTCTCACTAACATAGCCAAAAGCTCCTACTGTTGCAGTATGCAACATCCTGTTCTTCCTCCAGTTTTTCAATGCAGGTTGCTACACATTCTCCTGCCCTCCTGAAACTCATTAGCCATCTTGCACAAAAAGGGACTCATTCTATTCTGCCTGGGATTGCATTAGATCAGAAGTACAAAGGTAGGTCCTCCAGCACTTTACATTGTTGGCACCTGATTAATAAGAATCTAAATAAGCCTTTCTTGCCACTAGTTAACAAACAGGATGAGAGGTAAAGCAGTCTCTGCTTATATTTACATAGCCAAAAAGATGACAGCAATTGTCAATTCCTAAGTTTACTATTGTGTTGCTTTCTTACGACACCACTGAGGAACCCTCAGGGAACAAGGCCCCTATAAATGATGGAGATATAAAGAGCTGTATGGATCATATATAGATGTCCTTGTATATGTATGGCTGGAAATCTTGGGAACATATGAGGGAAGGAGGAAGAGTTTTCTTTACAGAACATATTCCTCCTAGTACATACTAATATGCACTCTTGTGCTCCACCACAGGAAGCTTGCCAAACATTTTATTTATATGGCCCCATCTGCAACAATAGGGAGATACAAATATAATAGTGGGGTTGGGTTGGTTCCCCCACACCCTTCCAGCCCCCTTTTAAACCTCTTTTCCCTAAGCTTTCTGCTGAGTCTAGTTTCCAGAGTATGTATTTTGTGTGCTAGTTTTCAAAACCTTTTTGAAAGGAGTTGAGAGTGGGATGATGGAGGAGTTAAGAGCAGCTACAGCTCTACCATATGCATAAGAGGACAGTAACATGTGTGCGCTGGAACTTCATGTGCATGTGTAAATGGGGATGCCACGAACTTGCACCTCACATAAAGAATACACTGTCTGCAGCAAAACAAACCAGGGTTGCTGTACCGAAAGGCTTCACCTTCTTTGGTCTAATTCAGCAGGCTATTTGATCACACCTTCCAGGCTGGGCTTTGATCTACAGCTAGCCCTTTGAAGATCCTTGTGCTACACAAGATACAGATGCACACATTTCATGTTCCTCTCCATCATATGACTGTGCCCAGTGCCACACTGCCCGTATGAAGCACTTAGCACAGTCTAAAATCTTTCTATTTCTATACAAGTGAAGGGAAACAAAAACGTCACCAATGCCAGTAATATGTCAAAATCAAACTGAAAAATCATAAACATACTCATGAGCAAAGCTCCTTAACTGCTTTTGCTTCAAAATGGCTGTTTTTTCATGGGCTGGATGGGAAGTTACATAGAACAGTTACATTCCAGCAAAACCTGCAGATTTCAAGAAAATTTGGCCAGGTTTTTAAAAGCAGCTGCCGTGAACTGGGTATCTAGAAAGGCCAAAAGGCCACTGCTCTTAAATATTTCTGCATGCTTTGTTGTTGTTTAAATGGCATTCAAGGAAAAGCCAAAGAGGCAACCACTGACTGTGCAGCAACCATTCCCTCCCTCCTCAGCGGGAAACAGCACAAACTCTGAATGGACCAAAAACACACAAAGGAACTTTTACAGCCTAAAACTTTGTTCTCCTTGAACACGAACTAGAACAAGGGAACCTTGAAAATTCATTACTAGTCCTCTTGAGTGAAGAAGAATAAAAATAAGAGTTTGTGATCAAACTCTCTCCTACCCACAGTGTGCTCCCAGGGCATGCTCATTCTTTTAGGTTTGCTTTCAGGTCAGAGGACTTCTTGGGCTGCAACAAACTCTGCAGTCCCCTCTAAGCCCCCAGTAAAACACCTTGTTTTCCTTTTCTATCTGAGCCCTGACCGCGCATCCACTCCTTGCTCTTCTTGGCATTCCTCATTCACCACTCTTTCTGAAGGCTTCATGTTGACTTGGTCTCCCCACCCTGCACTCATGAAGCTTTTTTCTTCTGCAGTTCTCCATGCTCCACTGCTGTAATGAGATGGTCCCTCTTTCCCCTTGAGGGTGCCAACTGATTCAGAAGGCAGTAGCCAGCCTCAGGCAAACAAGCAAGTGCCTTTCTCCTTTTAAGGACCAGCTACGCCCTTGTCAAGAGAACAGAACACACATTAACCGTGAACAAACAGAATAATGTAAATTCCACCACTCACCTTGGAATTTATCTGGCTGAACTTTAGCCATGGGAAAGCTGACCGCCTCCTCTAAGCGAGGCACCTGAGCTTCCTCTGTAATGAGCAGAGGGGGATAAGCCCTTCCAGGAAAAAAAAAAAAAAGACTCTTTTGCAATACAACAGCTATGGTAAGATAGGTAGGATAAGTGCCTCTCTCTTCTCTTCCCATCATCACAGCTCTTCAGTTGGCTTTTATTTTCACGGGATTTTAGCACCAGTCATATCACACACTACTGGCTGCACCAGGGAGCTGCACAGAATACTCAATCCTACACAAGCCGTCAGCAAGAGGTAAAATGATAAAAGCAGCACAGTCCCTGTCATGCAGAATGCAACACTGGACAAGCATCTCCTGTAATGCTTATTCAAGCTAAGAAACACCTCAGCATTGTTGTTAATGTGGGAACATCAGTTGATCAGTCTGATATATCCTTCACTGAAGTTCCCACCCAAAGGCAAAGGCTTAACTGTCAAAATGAAAACTGTGGTCACGAATGATCTTGTGCACA